GAAATTGTTGACAGCAGTCGTCGTCACCACCACCTTCACTGCTTGATCTGCCTTCGTTGACTTGTCCTCCAGCAGCACCTTCAACGTTGTCAACGTCTGCCTGTCAGCAAGCCTCCGGTTGTTTGTACATATGGATGTACGTTATGGTCGGCCGGTCAACCTGCGGATGCACATGCAACCCTCTCGGTTGGTCGATNTCCACCTTCACTCCAACACGATGAACGTTGTCAACGTCTGCCTGTCAGCAAGCCTCCGGTTGTTTGTACATATGGATGTACGTTATGGTCGGCCGGTCAACCTGCGGATGCACATGCAACCCTCTCGGTTGGTCGATTTGGATACGCGAGACTTGTTTACCACCCCTTGCTTGTCGCTTGAATTTTTATTGTTCCCGCAACTATTTTTACGTTGCGATTGTGTGTCTGTCGTTTTATTCTTGCCGCTGAAGATGTTGTAAGTTTCAAGTCTGGTACTATGCCGTTTATTTGTATTCTTTTGTTTGTTGCCTCATCGCATTTTTTATTATTTATAGCTTGACAAATCTTGTTATAGAAAGTAGTTCGTCAAGTGACAAAAGACTTCGAAATATGCATCCAAGCAATAACAATAGCGAGTCGAATTTCTTCTGCACTTTTTCATGAAAACTTTGCTTTATTCAATTTTACATGCACTATATACGATTTTTGAATAAACGCTCCCCTGAATATAATCCGAGACATTTATTTTTACTTTTCTTTGGTTTCATCAACGCTGGACCGCACTATACACTTCCTTGCACCGCGCTCCGCGCATCCACCCACTAATTCCTCGTTTCACTTCGACTCCACTCCATCAAAACGCACTGTCGACGCACCACTTGTGCACAATTTTCATTCACACTTCATTTTCATTTCCACTTCGTGATATAGATTTTTCCATTTGCATTCTATTATGTTGGTTTTCCATTTATAACTTCGAATGGATATTTTAGCCAATTAATCCAAAATATTCGTATTTTATCCACACCTAAACTACAACACTTAGGAATTATTTCATCTATTTTTATTTGAATATAGGAAATATTGGAAAATACATTTCTAGTCAGAATATGTGTGGAAATCGAATATGAAAACAGTACGAATATTCACACAACCAGCCGCTTTGGAAAACTCGAAAAAACTGAATTAAATTTTTCTGCTTCTTTCAGTTATTGCGACTGTTTTTCAATCGGAACGATTCACAAGCAGCGTTGCACTTTTGAAAGCGATTACTATCCCATCCAGTGTTGCGAGTTTACGGGATTTCTGCCTTTTTTCGTGGTTTTCGAAAAAGTGAGGGGATTTTCTGTCGAAAATTTGTTTTTTTTTATATCATCAGCGTTGGCGTTTTGCTTCAATTTAAGCGAAATTGATTAGTTTAATCCTGCCTGTTAAAATGTTTAATTTTTCTTCGTTTTGCCAAATTTTTTTATTAAAATATTCGCGAAGGATAATTTTCCTCAAAAATTCATTTTAGAGTATGAGTAAATTTTCAATCAATTTTTCAAATTACTTGTTTAGCGAAAGGCAGCTAATTATTATAGGAGTATATCGTCACCCGAAATGCAAAACGATGTAACAAAATCGTAACAGAAATAAAAAATCGTGATTATTATTTTTTTTTTCTTAAAATGATATGATATCATATCATTACATATTATGTAATTCGAGGAAATCCATCATATCAACCAAAAACTGAATTTGAATTTTTTATTAGTACTGACTTTTTGTAAATCATCTACGATGTTTGTTACGAATTTGTGCATTTTAGGGTATGATGTTGAAAGCCTGAAAGAATGTGTAGGTAATAGTTTTCAAATAAAGCAACTATGAGACTATGAAATCCTGACTTTTGAAAACAAAACTGAGCCTTTACTTACTTACTTGCTTATTTTTTTATATCTATAACCAATTTACCAAGCTTAATTAACGCACACAAGGGGTCGATTTCGGGGTTCAAACCACCCTAAAGTTAAAAACCTCAAATACAATATGTATCTTAAAGCTTAGAATCCAGCTCTCAAGGAAAAAAATACAAGATACAATATTTTCTATTATTTCTGTTGCTTGAAAAATCACTTTGCTTTAGCTGTAAATTTCCTTGAAGAAATAAGCATATATTTTTTTCCTGAGAGCTACAAACTGATTTAAGAAATTTTGATAGAAGAAAACCATCTCCATTGAAAACCAGAAATCAGAAATCGAGGAAAAGTAAAATTAAAACTCTTTTTTAACATTTTTTTATTACTTTTGAAAGTTGAGCGCATCTTGTGTTTTAGTTCTATAACATTTTTTATTACTTTTGTAAGTTGAGCGCATCTTGTATTTATAGAACTATTTATTAAACAAGTAATTTTTAAACTACGAAATGACCCTTGAGGCACAATCTTCCCTATAATAAAAAAAACAGAATTATTGAAATCGGTTCACGTGGTCCGAAGTTATGCTGTAGCATACATAAAAAAGAAAAAAAAATATTCCGACAAATTGATAACCTCCCCCTTTTTTGAAGTCGGTTAAAAGTGTTTGAGTTCTTTGTTAATTTTATGTAAATAAAGAGCAATTTATGAAACTTTAAAAAGTTTATTTATATATTACATACTGTACATAAATGTATTTTAAAGAGCGTATTAGTTGAAGCGAATTTTCAGAAATATAATAACAATAGATTGACGATTACACATAAGTCAGTGTTTGGCCGAGTTCTCCTCCGATTTGTGGTGTGCACCTTGATGTTGTCACACAAAAGGAGAAGCTGTTTTTCATGGCAGAAATACACTCGGAGGTTTGCCATTGCCTGCCGAGGGACGACCGCTGTTAAGACAAAAACCTGTTTCTATATTTTTTGCGATGTTGCTTTGACCGGGGCTTGAACCCAGGTGCTGATGAGTGAAAGCGCGCACTGCTTACCACTACATCACAGCGGCCGAGAAATATAAACCCCTCCCAAAATATATTCCCATACACCAAAAAATCGGAAAATCGATCCGAAAAAGAAAAAAGTGGATACAATGCGGAATTTTGTCCGTTCGCCGATTTCATTTTCGGTTACTTTGACATCATCTTTTTCGAACGTTTCCCGGATACGAACATGATTGATAACTGTAGTCGTTTTCTATTCTTTTCCGGATATGGAAATTTATACGAGACCATACTATCGGCAAAATTTACATTTATCTGCGGGATGGGATGCTAGAATGCATCAACACAATCAATTATTACTTTCAAATAATATCATCATTTTCAGACGTTTTCCCAATACGAAAACTTGGCTAGTGTATAAACAAGTTTAGATATAAATTTAGAATCTTTATAGGTGCTGGCTAATAATTCGGATCATATATGAGTCCTTAGAGATAAAAGATATAAGAGGAAACCATTTTTGTTTTTTAAATTCATATTTCTTATCTACCTAGGACTCCTTTCGGACTCACATATTCTGAATACAAAAAATGCGACTGCGTTTGTGTATGTATTGAAACTTGAAATTTAGTACTTGATATACATATGTAACGCCCAAGTTACAGTCGATTATCAATTCCGATATCAATCAATAAAGTTCCAGGAAAGTCTTCACTCTTTGCAAACTAATAAAGTATTGACATATTTTACCACATACATCCTCATCGGCGACATAATCAAACATATTTAGGAAAACCTGCAAATCTAAAAATGCACATATTTTCCATCACTGATTACCATTGTCTTAATTTTTCCTAATGGGTCTGCGCCATCTTCCATTTGTCGTGAATGGAAGAAAAAGAAGCATCGATATACTAGCGGTGGAAAACTATCGATAGTAGTGACCATCGACATTTGCCAATAGTATTGATGAACACTATCGATATATCGATACCATCGGCCATATTTAATTTATAAGAAATATTACATTTTTATATGTATGTAATCCTCCTATATTAGCAGTAAGCTAACTTACCAATGTGTAAGCATTCCATATATGTATTGTGTACGTGAGTGTTGTTTTTGTGTATGTGTTGTGTTCATGTTTATTTATAAACGTATGTGTTCCTATCTTTTGCACGTGTTTATTGATATATCTGTACTGTGATGTTTTCGGACGCTTTTTAGCTCTTACTGCCAGTATATATATATATTACATATATGCATTTTTATTAAAATATTTTGCTTTGTTAAGTCAAATGTACTATATCATGTATTTGTTTGTACATATAAATATTTTTCTACAAAGAATCTTTTCCAGAGTTAGGCTACTATTAATAGTTAATCCCGTCGAACTTAAAACTCTCTGACTCCACTGGCAATACTGGAATGCAAAGGTATTTTATATTATTTAGGAATATAAAGCTTTGTTTTTTAATGGCAGAGATATTTAGGATCCGTAACGTTAATGCCCGGTTGGACCAATCAATTTTGTTTTCATCAGCCTTTTAAAATTTAAAATGACAAATTTTCCGAACAAAATTGCGTCTGATATGGTTTAAAATTTATTCGTGAAACCTGGCTTACGTAAATTAGTAAAAGCTAGCTACGGTTGAGGATCCTTATCCCTTTCGACTTCTTTATCGGATGTGTATGTACACTGAGAACATGCTACAAGTAAAACGCCGTATTTAAAAGAAATTGTAAAACAAAACTTTTTAATATAACTTTATTCCAATCAAACATGACTAAAAATTATGTAGTTGTAAACACGATATATTTTTAAAACAAGACTAATATTTTATTAAAAATATACCTGTAATTTTTACCATACCAATAGGTTTGTGACACAGATCTTGAGGTGCTTTTTAGAAAAATAAAACACATCTTTTTAGATTTATTAGAAAATTTAAGATTTTGTGCAGCGGAAAATGCGCTTAACTACAGATGTAGTTTTTCATTTCTCGACAATACAGCCGATAGTATCGATAGTTTTAAAACAACGATAGTATTTTTTGAAAACACAAACCTTATCGATAGTATCGTCGATATTTTTCCACCTCTACGAGATATTCCCCGCTTATATTTTGACAGATGGTAAACAATTTCACAAGCTCCAAAGAAAAGTAAAATTAAATCGAAGTAAAAACCTAATCAGAGGATTTCCGGTAGTACAAATCGTAAATATTATGCAATGGTTGATGTTGAGCGCATTAAGACCGATGGTCTTAGGGAGTTGAAGGTAGAATTCATGAACAGTTACAGTGAAGATGAAAACTGTGAAGTTAAATTTATAAATAAAGTTGAGGCGATAACTCCAGCAGGCACACCGAAGAAACTAAACCAAGGTAAAGGTAGAAGGAAGGCGGCTACAACAACTCGCAAAAAACTTATACAGGACTCGGAAGTTGAAGCAGCAGCCAGTGTTACACGCAAAACAGTTACAGCAGCGCATATACAAACTACGACGAAAAAGAATTTCAGGTCGAAGGAACCGCCTCCCAGCCAGTTGCGAATCGATAGTTATTTTAAAAGCTGTTCCAAGTCGTACAAAATTGAGCCTCGTACAGAGAAAGACAAAAATATTTATTCAACTGCGAAAATGAATACAAAATCAGTAAACAATAGAAGACGTGGCACAAGTAGGACTACTAGAAATAAAGGACGAAAGCGTTTGTTCAAAGAGGAGGACGAATACACCACTACTGCTTCAACTGTGAGCGGCTTCACTGATATGACACCAACACCACCGAGGAATGCGCGCAAAAGGTCTAGGCCCGCGAATGCTGCTCGTGGCACCAGCAAAAAGCCTAAACAAAAATCCAAAGATATATTAGATATTCTAATAGATTTAATCTCTGATGATGACACAGAAAGGGAAGACCTAAAACCTAATTTGGTGGAGCTAGACGAGCATTTCCATTCAATTGAGAATAAAAACACAGGGGAAAAAATCCCACAACGAATTGAAAATGTTAAAAAAGAGAACATAAACGATCTCTATAACACGCTGCCAGAAGAAAATGCCATGGAATCTACCGTAATGGTTTCTATCCCGGTGCGGCGCCATACCCTTGAAAAATGCAGTGAGACCTCAAACAATAAGAAAAGCATAAAATCTGAGCTGATTAAGGAAACCCATGTTAATGTTTTGCCCAAGAAAGCTACAATGGCAAAGTCAGCACAGTCAGCGAAACCAAGGAGCGAAGTAAATGTGGCCCGTAATAAAAAAATTTCACAAATCGAAGATCGAAATAATACAAATGAACGCAGGGAGATTGCATGTGTAACAAGATCCATGACAAAAGCAACTGTGCCAAAGACGCCTATGAAGGTTAAAGAAAATACAAAACTTCTTGCTTCAACTCCACCAACACCACCACAGACCAGCAATGATGCATCCAGTAGTAATTGGGCATCCAATTTCGATATCTGCCCCGTTGTTAATACGAAAATTGTTGAAGTCAACAACGCTTCTCCAATTCCCACACAGGATAAGCCTCTACCTTCTACGTCGAAGAGCGGTAGGGTAAAGAAAATACGAGTTTGTCCCCCATATAAAGTTGTAGCTGGTACTACGTTCGCTGTTGATGCATTCCAATATGGACAGATTGCAGACGTTACTCACTACTTTCTTACACATTTTCATGCGGACCACTATCAAGGCCTTACGCGAAAATTTTCAATGCCACTGTTTGTGAGTCCATTAACGGGTAACAGGTTTTTGCACAGCGATATTTTCACTTAGCTGCATAAATTTGTTTTTTTTTCATTTCCAGCTCGTTTGGTGCGTGCTCTCATACCAGTAGAAGATCAATATTTGCACGAAATCGATCTGAACATGCCGTTGGTTATTAATGGCGTAGAAGTCACCGCAATCGATGCAAATCAGTAAGTAGACTCAGCATGAAATTGATTTGTTAATTTATTGACTTTCTCAATTTAGTTGCCCAGGCGCGGTTATGTTTGTATTTAAATTATCAACCGGAAGTTGCATTTTACACACCGGCGATTTTCGAGCCTCACCGGACATGGAGTCCGAGCCGATATTCTGGAATAATTACATTGATAGAATTTATCTTGATACCACATATATTGCGCATAAGCATAATTTTTGCTCTCAACATGAAAGTATCGATCGCGCCAAATGTATAATAGAGAAGTTTCACAATGAGCGTCCAACAACGCGCATATTATATGTTTGTGGCTCATATGTGATTGGTAAAGAGCGCTTTTGGACGAGGTTGGCTCATGAGTTTGGGTTAAAAGTTTGGACTGAGAAGAATCGTTTGACAGCTTTACGGGCAATGGATTTAGATGAAGTTCGCGGATTGCTTTGTGATGATCCTTACTTGGCACAAATGCATGTAATATCCATTGGTAAAGTAAGCTATCAGGTAAGTAACTAAATAACTTTTTACTAATTACTAGAAGTTGTTAAGATAACACAGAATTATTACAGTCTCTAGTCGAGTATTTTCGCCAATTTCACACCCATTTTGATGCTGTGCTTGCGTTTCGCCCATCCGGCTGGGAAAAAAATAACAAACCATCGCTCCGCGGTCAAATCAATATTGTTGGCATTGAGTATTCTGAGCATTCTAGTAATGCGGAGTTAGAGCGATTTGTAACATATTTAAAACCGCGTGAAGTGATTAGCACTGTACCTGTAACACAAGGCAAACCATGTATCACACCAAAGATACCAGATAAGTGGTATAAATACGATACCCTAAAAAGTAGACAACGCAAATTCCAGCCTTCAATTACCAGTTTTTTGACAATGCTACCACGACAGCCGACGAAGGGCACATATACCAAACGCACGACGAATTGTGTGACTCCTACAAAATCTCCCGGCTGTATGCGTAACGAGTTATCCCAACTGAGTGTGCGTGCCATGACTACATGCGTTCAACCGGAAGTGGAAACAGATGATGACGTTGTTTGTATGGATATACAGCAAGCGACATCGAACAAAACTCCGATGGTGAAACGAGATTATGACGCTATGTGTACGGACATGCAGGCGACGACTTCTAGCAAAGTGCAAGAGGCGATTATTACGTTATTTCCGGATGGAGATGCATTGGACGACTGGATATATTAGTACAGCAGTGGATTAACATTCGTTTTGTTCTTATCTTTTATACTTTTCTTGAGAATTACTACGACGTTGCATAGGCACACGTAGTATAAAATAGCTTTATGAAACTGCTTTGTACTAAAAATGTGAAATTAACTTAAACTGTGAGTTTTTAGACCTTAAGCACGAAACTTAACGTTAACACGAATGCTTTTTTATATGGAATCTGTATATTGCAATAAAGTTGCACCAATGTGGTGTATATAGTGTATATAAAAAAAATTAAAGGACAGAGCTGGATATTTGTAAAAGGTTAAACCCTTACTTATACGGATCCGACGCCGTCATATCTAAGGTAACGAAATTGAAAGACAGACACTTGCTATTCATAGAACTTCTGCAAGCTTTACCCGACGAAGAATCAATAGGGGTATTCTCTGAGTCATGCAAAGCCGGTGCACTTGTTCGCTTCGTCTGTGCAGCAACAAGTTGTGCACGAAAATGTTGTTGTGGTTGTTCGACAGTGTTGCATAAATGTGTATACTACTACACTGGGTGGCTTTGCGTTAACCGCATTTAATCAACTGCAGCGCCACCCTAAAAAACTTGCAGATACTGTGCTCACTCTCTGCCACATACCCGACACCACTGAGACGACACCTTTCTTCCCAACGAGAAAATATACTTTTCCACCACGCACAGAGTACACTGCCGACGTGCAATTGGCGCTCTCGGCAGCAGCCAGCTGGTAAAGTATAGATACTTTCGGATGAAAAGATACTCAGTTGGAATGGCACAAGCAGCAGGTAGCACCTCCACATCTACATACATACGTACAAACGTATCTATCTGTCCGCGAGTAAAATCATTGACTTTAGCCATTCTCTTGCAGGTTTGTGTTTAGTTTTACGAGATCTGCTGTCGTCAACGGACGTGTGTGCACGGAATAACAACGGGATATAAGTAGTAGAAAAAGTAATTGTTTTGTGGGCGTAACGACGAAAACGAATTGAACTTGGGCAGAGGCAGGCACAACGTCTGTGTGTGTGTGTGTGTGGGTGCGGATATTGTTTTTCAAGCGTTTTTTCGTTTGCGGCGCCGTTTCATTTACATACATAAAACTGTTTTTTTTTTGTTGTTGCAAATCCTTAAATATATGTATACCAAGTACTTCTCTTGTAAATTTTTCAATTAAGTGCCGAGCCGAAAAATTTAGAACAAGTCCATAGTAATGTACATATGTATGAAATAAGAGATTTATTAGATACAAGCGAATTCTATAAAAGAAATGTGAATTTTTGCTCTGGTGTTGTCCGTACGGTGAGACGTGCAGAAAACTGATTTTGCAATAAAAATTTAAAAACAAAAACATAAAAAATACTAAATGCTGAAAATAATACTCTTTTGAAAATCAAAGTATCTAAACATTCATAAGCACTTACATACACGTACATATCTAGTACCGCGTACAATTATTAATGTTGCCAAAATACTACTTACGAAGCTAAAAGTTTAATTAAAACAAAAAAAAAAATCCCTTTAAATGTCTGTATTTTGTGAAGAAATAAACGTGCAAAGTGTTAGTGTTGAATTTCCTGTTTGAAATTCTTTGCCTACTTTTTTCACTCGCCAACAACTACATACGCTTTACGGTATTCTTGGTTTGCCGTGCCGCTTTTGGAGTGCAACATACTTGTCTAGCCAGCTTGAATAAGTGGCTAGCGCCAAACGTGGAAGTCGCTTCTAAAGGTAGCTAACTAAAATATGTATGTATGTATTATAAAAAATATTGAGCAAACAGGCTATATAATTAAGTAGAGAGTATATATTTTGGTAGCCACGATTGAGTTTCAGAAATCGATTTTTAGTTCACCGCTTTGAATTTTTATTTTGTCTAATATTTAGTTATACATACATGGGTACATTAGTGCAAAAGGTGATAAAATGTGAAAAAACTAAAAAATTATAGTACACTTCTTGAGTTCTGGGCCATATGTAGGGCTTAATAGTCCTATCTTCCCTGCGAGCCAGGGCAGTTATTTTCAGCTGTTCAGTTTCATTTCATAACTCAAAACCTTGCAATTTTTACTGTGCTTTTCTTATTAGGATCTGAACAATGAAGTGCCTACAATTGCAATCCTCGTATTAATAATTTAATTTTCTAAAAATATATTTATATGAACATAAAAAAACGCGTAAAGGAAGTCGTAATGAAAATGATAGAACGCAAAACAAATGGTTAGTCACTCAGTCAACTAGGCAATCAATCAGTCATTTAGTCTCTCAGTTTTTCAGCTACTCACTCGATCAGACAGTGCGCCACTTTTGTGCCGCTTTGCTTTTGGCCAAGCAGCCAGCCAGGCAGCCAGGCAGGCAGGCAGGCAGGCAGGCGAGCGGACAGACTCAATATGATGCAAACACCAAACAGGCAACGAACTAGGCATGAGCGTATACAAAAATATACAATAAATGGAAACATGCACAAAAATGTATACGTAATACACAAGCATCAGTATGTACATACGTACGCATTTGTTCGCATAGGATATATGGACATTTGGGCCGTGTGAGCAGAAGTAGCCTAACCATATTTTTTTTTGTATTTACATACATAACTAATTAAAATAATTTCAAATGTGCTACATTTTAAAATAAAAGTCGCTTAATCCTTAATTTTAAGGTTCAAAGTTACATAAAATTACTATTTATTGTTTCAAAATGTATCAAAAATTATTTAAACCAGGGACGGTAATCATTATGTGTAAAATAATTTAAATCAGCATTTAATCATTATTTTATGATTTCTATTTTTTCGCTTAAAAATAGTAATTACTATCGAGTTTTATTTTTCGCTCAACAAAAATAATTATTATTTGATTTTTATTTTAAGTTTTATTTTTCTACTTATAAATACTGATTATGTATTTATAAAATTGAAAAGGTTATACAGACGTAACCAACTGAAATTTTGACATGAAAGGTCTGGGACTTACTCCTCTCGAAAAATAAAAATCAGTCTAAATTACAATAGGACTTATGGACACAAATACGTGAGTATAGTTAAAACTGCTTTACGATGATTACAATATGTTGAATTTTTTTGTTAAAAAATAATGATTACCGTGGTCGAAATAATTATAGCCGCAGCACATTTTGACAAGTTTTAACACATTAATTTTGGTTTTTTTTTTATAAAAATATAGTTCATTCTTTAGCAAAACCCATGTAAATACAAGTTTCTAACTTTGTGCAATATTTAAAAAAAATCAACAAACTTTCGTAAAAATTTCTAACTTTTTTAATTAGATTTCATAGTATGCAGTTTTGTAGCCCATTGAAATCTAGTAGAACAAAGTACAAGTTTCAAATGGTTAAAAATTATGGTTGATTTTTAGAATTTTTTTTGTCCAGGATGGTCCGGTTTTCTTCCATATAAAACTAATTTGTGTGTATTCGTTACATGGAAGCAAATGGGACAAAAAAAGCTAAAAAATGAATGAACTATAATTTTATAAAAAAAATATCAACATTAAATAACAACAAAATTAACATGTTGAAACTTGTCAAAATGTGGTGCGGCTATAATTATTTCCACCACTGTATTTTCCTACCAGAATTGGCCTCAAATTTTTGCCATCCATTTATTTTAGCATGCAGTCGGAAAACCTTCAGACCCCATTTCCGAATAAGAAGTATTTTACAGGCCCAGGTTACTTTACTAAGAGTTTTGCCTAATGGGTATTCCAACTTAAGTCTCTAGGGTAATTCTAAGATATTTAACTTCAACAGAGTATTCAAGCACAAATCCTTCAAGATTAACCGAATCAAGCAAGGGTCGACTTACATACCCTTGCGGTCTGCCGATTAAGTTAAGTGACATTTTGACCAGTTTTGGCAATTTTTATTTTGTCTATTTAATGTTTATAATTTTTTTTTGTATTAAAGTCTGGCACATTTCATAACCAGGACCACATAAATCCACATGTCAAACTTCGTACAAAAATTATAAAAATTCAACAAACTTTAACAATTATGTACATCCAAAAATTTAATTTTTTTTATTAAATGGAGCTGCTTATGTAATGTGCCAGACTTTTATAAAAAAATCATAAACATTAAATAAACAAAAGACAAATAACCAAAACTGGTCAAAATGTCACTTAACTTAATCAGCTTACCACAAGTGTATATATATGCATCTTTATTTGAACGATACCAGAACAACTCTTAGCGGGTCTATCCTGAGGCTCGCCAGTTCGGTACCAAACGCAGAGCTGCCACACATGGCGTTTGAGACATACATAGCTTCCGAATTTGAGCGTAACGAGAATTACCAGGCCGTCTGGTAACCAATAGCAACGTAACCACTCTTCCATAGTATTCATAGCTATTAATTCACGAAAGTATTGCCCAAGAATTCCCTTTCTATATTACCAATTGTAAAAACTTTATCTGTCCATTAATGTTTCAGATGTTCCTTTGTGTTTTGGGCCGAGGGGCTCTGTCTGTAGACAGTAGGTACCTTATTTTGTCTTCTTAACCACTAAAACTAACAACTTTGTCAACATACACGGACAGGCACTTTAGCTGTTCATTTTACTTTTCTGTCTGCTGCTGGTAAGATCTGTGGAAATGGCTGCTTGCAATAAGTCAAAAATTATTGAAATTCCGAAAAATCGCGTTCCGAAACCTATTTAGGATCACATGTCCTCTAGCGGGTCACAACTTTTCGGTTATCAAAGAAATCGATTTTTGAAAGGCTCAGCACAATAAAAAATAAGCGTTCTTTCAACTACGGATCCACAGTAGGTGCAATAATCTTACTCATTCGAGGCTCTTACTTATTTAATTTAATTTCTTTATTGTTCAAGCAAATATTTGCTGCCGGGCCCAGTTATTTTCTTAAATTTACTGTAGACTCTAGTCATCCAAAGTTAACAAATACTTTGGAGTTAAATAAAAATATTTACATACATACAAACTTGAAGATTATTTATATACGTATGTACATATAGATTTAGCTAATAAAAGACAAAATCGCCAAATAAGAAGGCGTCATAAATAGAGTTGCCTGCTAAATTCATTAACACTAGATTAGATAAGTCAGCTTTTGAAGTACATACGTACATACATACATACATACAGTCATACGTGCCCATGTATTTACTAAAAATTCTGAGTCAACAAATCAAAATAAAATATAAAATGAGGAAAGCCGGTTGAGTTCGGAGAGAGAGAGAGATGCTTAGTCTTGTATTCAGAAACTTG